TCCTTTCTTTTTCTTTTTCTTTTTTTTTTTTTGTGAGGAAGATCAGCCCTGAGCTAACATCCATGCGAATCCTCCTCTTTTTTGCTGAGGAAGACTGGCTCTGAGCTAACATCTATTGCCAATCCTCCTCCTTTTTTCCCCAAAGCCCCAGTAGATAGTTGTATGTCGTAGTCGCACATCCTTCTAGTTGCTGTATGTGGGACGCGGCCTCAGCATGGCCGGAGAGGCGGTGCGTCTGTGCGCGCCCGTGCGCGCCCGGGATCCTAACTCGGGCCGCCAGTAGCGGAGCGCGTGCACTTAACCGCTAAGCCACAGGGCCGGCGCCCCTTAGCTCATTTCTTATCCTTGCATCTAGTGTTAATTCATCCTGCCTAGTAATAGTTAACTGTTTTCTTGCTTAACTCCCCTAGATGATAATGAACTCCTTCAAGGCAGGGTGATCTGGTCCTTTTTCCCTCTCAGTGCCTTGAACACTGCCCTTGCACAAAAGAAGTACTTTAAATGCCTGTTGACTCCAATTTGGATTGACCTATGGAAAAGAAGATTCTAGAGGCTGAGGCCAAGTGAGACCATAGTTTTATTTGAGGCATAAAAGCACATGTGTAAGGTTGACTTTAGGGTCTTGGTTTCTATTGTAGACACAGCTTCTATCACAGCTTCTTGGGAAATGCATTAAAAAGGGAACAAGGCATAGCCTGGAAAGAAAATCATTACTGTTGCTGGGAAGTTATAAAGGGAAGATCTTACTCAAATTAGTGTACATGTAACAGAGCCCCAAGGATGAAGAGAGTGGTGTGGGGAAAAAGGTCGAAGTTCCTACTGTTAGCTGTGATGCTGGCGTCTCCTCTTCCACAGCAGGCACTCACCCCTAAATGGAGGCAGCAGGGTCGACTTGGCAGTTCTGCCTGCAGCAACATCTGGAGGCCCCCTAGTTCCCTCTCTCCATTCCTGTGCAGTAGCCCTGTCCCCTGAAGAATCAGAGAGGAAGGGCAGGGTCTAGGTCATGGACACTGCTACTTGTTCGATGAAGCTGGCCAGGTTTATGTCCCGCTCGGAAAGGCCCGCACACTCATGGGTGCTCAGGGTGATGTGGACCTGAAACAAAACCAGAGATTCAGGGCCAGCCGACTCCACTGACTTCACCTAAGAGCAGGAGGGTCACTAGCTATGGGGCTCAGCCACACTAAGAGCTCCAGAGCAGCGGCCAGTCACACAGTCTCTCCAGGGCCTTCCCTCCTGACGTCTCTATAACAACAAAGCAAAACTGTCGTCTAGTATATCTCCAAAAACAATGGTGACTCCAGCTATAGGATAAAAATGAAATATCCAAATAGCAAGAGCAACCTAAAAGCTAAAGACCAGACCAAAAACCAACTCCAGCTCCAAAACACTATCCATTTACAGATCATCTCTTCCAGCCTTAACGTTTTTAGAAAGAGTCCAGCATAGCTCTTGGCACATGGCAGGCATTTAACGACTGTTTCAATTCAGCAGACAATGTGTTTGCTGTACATGGGTATTCTTAGTTCAGGTTTCTTTCTTTTTCATTCTTCCATAGCTCCAGAAAGCTGGAAGCTTTTAACAATGACCAGGCCTGACTGCCACAGCCCTTCCTTCCTTGGGTTTTGCTTTCTTAATGTCTACTTTGACCACAGGTTCTCTCACAAGTGTTTTAATTTGCATTTCTTTAATTTGTAGTGAGAGGGAAGTAGTCTGTGTTGATTCTAGGAAGGAGAGGAATTGGACAGGAAGAGTGGACAGTCAACCTGTGGGTGAGAAGGGCCCATAGGGAAGTCCAAGGAAGGGGCCTTCAGAATCAGCTGGAGTTCTCAGAACCCGGGCTGGGCGGAGTGCAGCAGGCACGCGTCGCTCACCTTGTTGTACACATTAAACCATTCGGGGTGGTGGTCCAGTTTCTCAGCCTGCAGGGCCACTCTTGTCATGAAGCCGAACGCCTATTTAGTGAAGTGAGACCCAGGTTAGTGTTCTGAGAGACAGACTGCGGGGCACCTTATGCCCGGTGTAAGGCCACCATGCAGGAGTATGGACAAGCATTCTACAAGGAGACCCCTCTAACTTTCATCATCCCCCCTGGCATCCTGCCCCTGGTTCTGAGGGCAGAGTTGGAGGCGGTCTTTCCGCAGTAGGAAGGAAGTCTTGTTACTAGGATCACTAACAAGGTGGAAGCACCAGAGAGGTTTCTAGTCTTGGTCACTCTTAACGTCCACCAAAATGGCTATCCACCAAAATGTCTTCAGATGTACATCTGTTTCCTACTTGAACTATCTCCTTGAAGGACTGTTTCTCAAAGTTCCAGGTATGGAGAGCCCAAGACTCATCACCTCACTCTAATCCCCAAGAATGACACCTTCCAAGAAAACTGGGTTAGTGTCGTGTCTGAGAGGCTTAGCTAACAGGACTTTAAGGGAGAGGACAAGTTCTGGAATGTGACCCCATCAGCCCAGGGTCAGAAAACTCTGTCCCACCCTGGTGCCATACCCTATTGAAATCTTTGAAATGGAACTGCTTGAAGATGGCATCTCGGCCTTCCAGCTCATTCCACCCCACAGCCCTCAGGTTTGGCAGCAGCTGGTCCCTCTCCTCAGCGCTTAGCCTGTGTGCTTTGCCAGCCTAGGAGAGGAAAAAAACAGAGCCCAAGGGCATTTCTTTTTACAGGACAAAAGAAAGGGCCCCAGACCTTTGGGGAAATTTAGCCAGCCTCTACTGGCTGCTCTGGACGCTGGTGACACAGTCAAAGGGCAGCTGGTCTAAAGCAACAAACTGGGAGGTGTGGAGGGTGGCGCCCTGGCTCACGCACTGATAGGTTCTTAGATTGTACACCCCACTCAGAGCACAGAAAATCCTGAGGTGTAATGCAAACATTGGGACTGAGAAACACTCTTCCCCTCCCCCTGCCCCCAAAGCCTTACAGAGGACCCCCCGCCACCCCCAAAAATAGGTCTCTTACGTTAATGAGGGAGTAAAAGCAAAATCAAGCCCAAATGTGTACGTGTTACAACACAACCTTTCAGAAAGAGTCCCCCGACAGTCCAACCGTCGTCTTCTATTATGGACCTTATCTAGTCCACCCCACGCCCCTACTGTTTTTCACTGTCAGCTGTATGGAAGAGGAAAGAGGCCAGAGAGGGGAACTGACCACTCTTCTCCTACCCCCTCACCCCTGGTCAGGGAGGGCACAGGCATCGTTCTCAAGGTGGGTATGTGTGTCCGCATGCCTGCGGCCAGGACAAGGAACCAGCACCTAAAACACGTTCCAGGTAATTCTTAGCCATGCTGCAGTTGACACCCATGGGCACTACCTCCCAGTGGGTCCTCCATCACGCTCCTATGCAGCCTCTGCTTCCCAGCAGCCAGGCCTAGGCTTCTCTGATTTCCACCTTCTTTTCTGTTCTTTCGGCTTGGGATGCCCGAGCCACAGAGCTCAGTCCCAAAAGGGGAAGTCACTTGGCCAAGGACAACTGGCAAACCTAGTGCCCCATCCTATGTACCTACTGGGCGGCCGTGAGGGCCCTTGGCACAAACCGGCCCAGTTGAGGCCATGAGCGGAGCCTCAGAGAACGAAAGGAAGCAAAGGTCAGTTCCACCCTCTGGGAGGAGCCAGGTCCAGGAGCTTAAGGGATTGCAGAATTTAGGCTCCTGAAACAACTACCCAAGGACAGAAGCTGTAGAGAGCTAAATTAAAAACCATCAATAAGCTCTGCGCAAGAATTGAGGGAGTTCATCTAGCTTTCATGAGGCAGACCGCGGACTGGAAGCCGCAGGGTGGGTTGGCAGGACTGGTTCAGGCCCCAGTTCTGCCACTCTCCAGCCAGGTGACCCAGTGGAACTCATCTCTCTTGGCTTCTTGGGTAAAATGGGACAAGAACTTCCACTCCACAGAGCAGCAGGAGGAGCCAGTGGGACACTCAGTCAACTCCACGGTTAGTAAGGAATGTCATCTGCATTGTTAAAAGGAGACTCCCTGGGGCAGGCAGGCTACCATGGGCCCTGCAGGTTGGGGCAGAACTGCAGAAGCATGGCGGCACTCTTAAGTCAATCTTTTCCTCCCTCCTGAAAACGCCTGTTCTCTCTGGACTGATCTGGTTCGTCCGTCTTCTCAGTTCCAGAAGGCTAGAGCCGGCAGCAGAGATCTGCATCACGCGCCCATCCCCATCTCTGTTCCACAGCTGGCCCTTTCTCAGTGGCTGATAAGCCTGGTCCATGTATCCAGGCAACCGGCTGGATGACCAGACATCGGCCAAGGTATCAGAACCCACTGTTTAGTTCTCTGGCTCTGAAAGCAGTGGGTGGGTACTAGTGAGCTCCTAGGAGGCCTCCCCTTCTCTTCCGAGTCTTCTGGAATCCCCCAAGTTTCACATCTGGGGACTGAACTGACAAGCCCCTCTGAGATCTGGGATCAGAGAGGGGGGAAGGGGTAGTGTTTGCTTAGTAAATCACAGGTCAGGCCTGGTGGCCTCTGTCTCTGGGAGACTGTGGGAAGAGGTTACTGATTACCATCCTTGGGGCCTCAGTGCCCCTCACAGTCAACCTCACCCGCCACCTCCCCTCCCTCCAAGCCACAGCCTTCAAAATGCCCTCTCAGGTGTCACCAGAGTCCCGACTGCTCCTAATGCTTTTGGGCCAGAAATGGGCTGTTTAGTAGGGCTTCCCGGGTCTAGCCAATCCTCTCCTCGCTGCCCACGGGCTCCCCTTCACCTCCCTAGCTTAGGGCAGGGGGGCGGGGTTGAAGCAAAGCTGAGCACAGGGCCTGAGACCCTGCTGTGGGGAGGCTCAGCCCAGAGGAGGCATGATCCTGAGCAAGCATGTCCCCATCGCTGGGCACAGGCCTCAAACCAGGAGCCAGGGGCTGGCTCTGAGGTCGGGGCCCAGCCCCTGTGGCCAGACGTGCAAGCGAGGAGGGCAGTAGACAGGCATGCAGAGGAACACACACATTCGGTCTCCCCTCACACACACGCGTCCCCCACCTCCAATATGGAGCAGAACCGTGCCTCCGAGGGGACTATATCTGCGGGCTCACTGTGCTGCCCCTCCCCACGCACGCCCTGGAGGTCACGAGGCCCCGCCCCCAGCATTGCGGCGCCGAGGGGACACTGGCCTGGGAGCAGGGGCAGGCCTGGGCTCCCGCCTCTCTGACACGCGGACCTGCCGCCCCCCCTCCCGGCCTCAGCTTTCCCGGGGCACCACCGCGGGTGGGAGCGGGGCGCAGACCCCCACTCTCCAAGGCCGGCGGCGGCTGGTCTGCCAGGGACTGGGAGGGACCCTCACCCCACCCCCGCCCCGCCCGCGCGGCCGGCCTGGGCGGGGACCCCGCGCGGACCCCTGCCTCTCCTCCGGCCCTCCC